CATAGGCAAAGAACCAACGGGAGAGTTTAAATGAGTCTCAAACCCAGAAGGCACAGCTCGCTGTGCCTTTAACCAAGAGAAAAACAAGGTAAAGCAGGCTGCATTTCAGTAGTAAAGATTACAGGAATACACACTATTCCGAGTAAACGAGCCTCCTCCTCCCGTCTTTAAACCACTCTTGCAAAACCAGCTTCACCCTTCACTCCCCTCATGCCTTATGAATTCTGTCTCCAGCAAAAATAATTTGAGTTTTATTATTCTGGCATCTGGTGGGAGTCTGACAGCCTACGGTAGCTGCACCTCTTTCTTTAATACCCGCCTGTTTTAATAATACAGTGTACCTTTTGGTTTTGTTGAAATGTGACATTATTCCAGGCACCCAGCGGCAACGGGAAGGGGCTTATGTAATTTACGCGTCCTCCGAGCTGTGTTTAACACTCCCAAAGTGGAGACCTGTAATTTGGGAAGTGATTTTCCCCAAGGTCAAGGGATGAGTTTGTGGAGGAAAGGCTGTGGGTTGTCTGGCCTGATCTCAGATTGAGACCAGGATCCCTTGGCTATGAGGCTGAGACCATCAGCCTAAATCATAACCGGCCCCCAACACATACACCTCAGCACAGCTGTGGTTGGGTAACCAGGCATCTTGGGTTTAAGAAGTTTTAATGGGGACAGGTGAGATGGCTCAGCAGCTAAGCACACTGACTGCTCTTGCAGAGGACCCAGGTTTGGTTCCCAGCACCCACATGATGGCTCACAACTGTTCATAACTCCAGTTCCAGAGGAACTGACACCCTCTTCTGGCCTTTTCAGACATTACATGCACATGGTGCACTATATATATGCAGGCAAAACACTCATTCACATAAAATAAAAATAAAAACAGTTTTTAAAAAGAAGCTTTACATGAATTGGCTGCCAGAGCGTGGGGGGGCCTTTCCTGCCCCGTTCTCAGCCTCCCATCACCAAACAATCCCAGACGCCCACCTTTTAAATTGTTTTTCTTTACTCTGTATGGGGTAGGGTAGCGGCTGTGTGCGTACATGTGTGTGGTGTGTGTGTACATGTGTGCGTGGAGGTTGGAGGTTGATGTCCGGTGTCCTCCTTAACCCTCCTCCTCCTGATTTTTTGAGACAGGATCTTTCACTAAACCTGGAGCTCACCAATTAGGATAGACTGGCTGGCCAGTGAGCCCCAGGGATCTGCCCGTTTCCACTGTTTCCCCTGCCCCATCCCAGTGCTGGGATCACAGGTGATCACGACCTCATCTAACTTCTTGTGGGGGTACTGGGAATCCTAACTTGGGTCCTCACGCTCGTGTGGTAAACACTTTAACAACCGAGCCAGCTCACCTTCCCCCAGGTTCCTATTTTCACAAAGGCAGAGAGGTCGGCATGGCAGAGTGGGTCTGCTTTAGGCACGCAGAGGGGACTCTGGTCATCCAGTGCACTCTGTGACCCTTCCAGAAAGTACCACTGCTGTGCAAAGCATCCTGAATCCCTGCTGTGCTGCATTCTGGGGACACAGGAACACTACACATACCTGTCCCAAGGAAGCTTGCTGTGGAGGTGGGCAAGCCCTGACAAGGGAGAACCTTCCTTTGTGCCACACCACACCTAAGGCCCAGTACACAGCAAGCACTACATCAATGTATTTGGACAATCGAAGGGATAAAATGCCAATGAGAGGAGAAATCACCACACTCGGGTGTGGGTGCGGGGAATAGATTCTGGCATGAATGAGAGAGGGAAGGAGGCAGGGCAGAGGAAGAGCTAGCAGGTACCAGGCCACAGGGAGATGTCCTTCTGAGAATGCGAAGGATGGAGTGGGGCTGGGATTGGACAGATCAGAGATGGGACTGGCTGAGCAGGTCAGGAACCAGATCGTGAAACACCTTGAACACCACTCCAAGGACTTTATGAAGTCCTTTGGAGAATTTTTAAGCAGGAAACTATGCAGATTAGTGTCTTAGGAAGCGTGTTCTGGTGTCCGTGTAGACAGGGTAGATGGGAAGAAACAATGCAGGAATCTCGATCAAACAGTGAAGGTGATTAAATGAGGACTGAAGGCTTGTGGAAGGGGCAAAGTAGAGGCCAGAGCAGGATTCGAGGACCAGTGCTTCGTGGGAGTTGGGATAGAGGACAATATAAGGCACCTCGTAGTCTCTTGCTAGATACAGGTACCCTTTTCTAATAAGGGATGGGGGTCTCAGGACATCAGGGAAGGTTACCATGGAAACAGCTTTAGTGGCTCTGATAATGTAGTTGCATGTGGACCATTGTTACCTTTATAACGCTTTTCCTCGTGTTTAAAAATAGCATAAGACCCAGCAATAAAGAGGGCTGAGGCAGAAGGATAGCAAGTTCCAGGCCAACCTGGGTTGCATATAGACCCTGTGAAAAAATAAAGCATGACATTTCACAAGGCTTATGAGGCTGTTCTGACTGGAACAGACCCTGCAGTGACCACAAAGGGAGCTGGAAGTGGTTGGGTGCTAGAATCTAAGGCTTAAGGAAGAGTCTTGCCTGCCTTGGGGACTGTGGTTGCCGGCCTTCAAGATGGCTCCTGTGAGGCCATCTCCTGTCCCCTGTGTCCTCCACCTCCCTGCAGAGTCATCTGTATAAATGGACACAGCAGGGAAGACGTATGCATCCTAAGAGTAGGTCACCAAGGACATGATGATGTCTGTCTTGCTCTCTTTCTGTCACAAGGACCTTCAGCAACCCTGGGGAGGAGCTATGGATGGGACCTGGGAGCCCTTGGTGTGGACCATCTCAGAAGTGGCTCCTTAATCCCAGTCTGACTTCAGATACCTGCAGCTCAGGCTAACCGGCAGACTGAGCTTTGTAAGAGACCTCAAGCTAAAAGCCACTGCTAAGCTAAGCTGCTCCCAGATTCCTGGGATGCAGTAAATGACTGCTGTTGGGGATAATCAGTTGCAGAGTGATAGTTACCCAACACAGACTTTATAGAAAACAAATGCTGGCGAAGTGGCAGGCACGCACAAGGGCACCGAGCAAGAAAGTGGAAAAAGCGGAAGGCAGAGAGGGTGCGGTCACACCTGGGATGCTCCAGGAGCTGGTGGGTAGGAGAGAAAGTCTCGCACAGAGGAACAAGGGCTCCCAAAGGAAGGGGAAGAAGGTAGAGAAACTGCAGAATCCCAGGACAAGGGCATCTCCAGAGGAGGGCACCAGCTGCTGCAAAAGGTGGAGCAGCACCCAGGCACCCCCACCCCAGCAGAGACTCGCCCCTCTTTGATCAGC